AGAAACTGATTGGCTTAACGTAGTTCTCAACAAACAAGAGGTGGATCCTAGTTGTGAGCCCTGGGATTGCTACTTCCAAGACTCTCAGGTGCCAAAACATAAAGCTCCTAATTCTGACATTACATTCGCTACGCCTTTCGTTTTCAAGCCCGTAAATCCAGCCCAAGGTTTTCCAACTGGCGATTCGCCCAACGCTTTTAAAAGACAAGAATCTTTATTTACTTCAAACTATCCGTCTTTCTCTGCAAGTACTTTATCCGAAGACCAAGTCGGTAAGATAGTTGAGATTCTTGGAACTGTGTTGGAAGAAATAAAGGTGGATATATGGAGAACTGTCCTAAATCCAAATAGAGGTAAAATATTCTTCTATTTTACCACCAAAAAATAAAAAGTAAATAACTACAAAAACCTAAAAGCGAAAATGTAAATTGAAAATAAATGCTAAAGTTTTTTTTTTCTTTTGTTGTTTTTTTTTTATTTTTTGTCATGTTTTGATTTATTTATATATTATAATTATAATACGCGTGCTTATAAAATAAGTAATAAATAATTTTGTTTTTTTTTATATGTTCCCCAAATTTTCCCGATTTAGATCATATAATACCCCCAAGCTTTATCCGCGAGTTTAATAAGCTTGTGAACGAGTCTTCTTACACACAACCTACAAACACTAAACCCCCTCTCATAAAAACCGTAGAACATCTACGTTCCATTTTTTCTCCTTCAAATACTTCTATAACATCATCTTCCGACGCAGAATTATACAGTCATGTATTTCATTTTTACTGCCAGATGGCTGCTTTTCTAACTGTGATCCATTTGTTTTTTGATATCATTGTAATGGACTTTTTGTGTGAGCGTGAAGAGGGGCCACATACAAGACGTTTATCAATAGAAAAGTTCATGAACATTTTTGATGATGCAGACAATTTTTTATTGTATCACTCTTCACCTATCGAAATAGAACCAAATAATAGTGATCTAGAAGCATTTTTTTGGTATTATCGTGGGATTATACGACCTCAACCTCAATATCACTGTGATCTTTCGGACCGTTTTAGAAAATTATCAATTTATTTCTCTTCATTAGATATTACCGAATCTATACTATCAATGTTTTATACAAAACACTTCTTAAATGGGTTTGCAAAAGAACATCAAAAAGATCACGGACAATTTTACACACCGAGAGAAGTTATGAGGTTTATGTGGGATCGTGTTTTACTTGGTAGAGGGAATGGTACATGGATTGAAAAACTTCTTGGAGGCTCTTTTCAATCAAAAAATGTTATGAGCTATCAAACTGGTCAATCTTCGATCGCGTCACCCCCTTGGAGCATTTATCCTCAAGCTCCAAAAGTGTTGGACCCTTGTATGGGAATAGGATCTTTTCTTTGTGAATTCATACATCGTATAACACTTGCTGCACAACAATGTCCTTCAGTGTGGCATGATCCAAAGGCTATTTCCCATCTTTTTCAATCTTTAACCAAAAATATTTGGGGTATAGAAATTGACGCGTTCGCGTTTCATCTCTGCAAACTTAACATAACGATACATATGCTACCACTTTACAAACGCTTCATTCAGCTTTCTTACGCGAGTGAAATTAAATTACCTCGTTTACATCTTTTTTGTAACGATACTTTAAATTTATATCTTCCAAAACGAGAGCTCACGTGGGAATATGATAATTTGTGGCTACTGCGTTCTCCTCAACGTCTTAAATTTGATTATATAGTAACTAATCCTCCTTATATGATTAGAAAGACTGGATTTATATCAGAGCCAGACAGTGAACTTTTTGATGAACGAGTGTTGGGTAAAGGTGGCATGCAAGCTTATGCTTACTTTTTCTGGTTTTGTGTCGAAAGATGTCAGGAAGAGGCTGGGGAAATCTGCCTTATTAGTGGTAAGTACACGAAAATGAAAACTTTGAGTTTGAAATCCTGTTTTATAACTTGTTTTATACTTCGATAGTACAGGGCCTTAAGTTTACTATTTGTTTATGATCTAAATTTGATCATGTTTAAATTTCCGATATCGAGATTGTGCTACATTATATATATTTAATTTTAATTATTCCTTTTATCAAATTATTGACATCTTCTCACGATTTTTTATTTATTTATTTATTTTTTAACTTTAACCACATGAATTTACAGCTAGCCAATGGATGGGCCTAGAATTTGCTGACAAATTGAGGTATGCATTATTTTATTTCCAATATTTATTTATTTTATTTTATTTTATTTTATTTTTTTATTTATTTAATTTTACAAGAGTTTTTTACAAGAATTTTATTTTATCTAATAATTTAATAATTTAGAGCATGGTTATGGCAGAAATGTCATCTCGTAGAATTCTTTCAATTTGAACCATTCAAAGTTTGGCGGAAAATACAAACCGACTCCTTGATATTCCGTCTTCGCCGTCGTCGCGAATCTTTATCTCCTAATAGCCTAATCCCCATACAGCCTCCTATTACTTCTGAACCACCAACCATATTTTTACGATACATGAATCGTAAAGCAACATTACAAGAGACTCTTCAAGCTTATGCAGACTTTAATCCAAACAATACACCATTCGATAAAGATATGCATTGTAAAATAACACCGCCTTATCCACATACTATTCTTCCTTCTCCTACAAGCTCTTATTCATTCACGTTCCTAATGCCTACCTCCGCTGTTAGCGCATATCTTCATTCGATAACTGCACATCTTCCTTCCCTTTGCGACCACTCAAGTATGAAACCTACATGGCTTGAATGTAATCCGTTGATTTGGCATAGAGGACCAAATACCAATCCGGTGTATGCTCTCGTTGTTCGTACCTCATGGGCATATTCTAAATTTGGTAAAGAAGTATGTAGACGTTGGTTAAGGCCAGTTTTTTATTGGAATGGAAAAAATGGAGGAAAAGAAGCAGAATTTTGGCAAAAAATGGGTGATGAACTTCGACTTGAAAAAAAGGAAAGTTCTCCCGCTGAAGCTTACGTGCCTTTCCTTTCATATAATTCTGGTGGCTCTACTGTATCAAAAGATGGACTTGAACAGGAAAAGTCCATGTATTCCTTAATAATGGTAGATCGTGATGCAGTAGATAAAGTACGTAAAGATTTTGGTGAAACCAGTGAATTTTGGATTTATCTTAAAGAAGCACGAAAATATTTACAAACTGGCATGACTTCACGAGAAGTCGCCTATTGTGGCACTAGTAAATGCGGGTAAGTTACAACATTTATGTTTTTAAAATTTTTTTTTTTGCGCTAGCTACTATAAGTTAGCTTAAATATGCAAGAGCTCAAAAAATCTGCTTTTTATTTAAAAATGGTTAATTTTATAAACTTTATTTTTACATTTTCTTAATTATCATCATAGGATTGATATCCGTACAAAGATCATTCACCCTATAAATTACGGTTATTTTTCTAAAAATCAGGTTTGTTTCTTTTTTTTTCTTAAGATTGATTCAGTCATACGGTCCATTATTTCCATAAATGATTCATGCGTACTATGTTTGTTTCTAAATAAACATTGATTCGCGTTTTAATGGCGTAAAATAATACCTTACTTTCTTACCGTTCACGTGTATTTTTACATTTCTGATTTTTTGTACTACCTTCTAAAAAGTGTAATATCAGGTTCATACATGAGATTTTTTTATAATTCCCAAATTATACCTTATATCATATATATGATTCTTAAAGATATATATCATAGTCGCATAAAGCTTATAATTATTTATCGATTCTCTATTTTTATCATAGCCACGTCAACGATTTTTTATCGATGAAGATAATGTGTGTGTAACCAACCAGGTATGAAAAAGTCAATTATCATAAATTCGCGTTTGAATTCGAAAGGTTATCGTTTGGTACATGATTCATTTCACTCAACGATACTTTTTTTTTTCATTCATTTCATTTTAAAAGTGTATATATTTCACGATAAAGTCGACAACCGGACTTCCTCCTCATTTCTTTCTTGGTCTCCTTAACTCGACTACCATTCAACACTTTTTATCTCATCATTGTAAATATGATCAACAGGGAAGAATGAGACTTTTTCGTGAGAATATGGCCAAAATACCATATGCTGCACCAACCAATCCTGATGGTATTGATTGGTTCATTAGATGTACGCAAAAAATGATAAGAGTTCGTCAAATGTTATACGAAGGTATTGGATCTTGTGAAGATGAGGAAAAAGTTGGAGGGGCAGTAGTTGAAAAATTACGAAGAGGAACATGGCAATTGACAGGTCGCGAATGGCAAGAAAAGGAAAGTGATGGATGTAATAATGAAACAAGTGTTATTTTAAGGGAAGAACAAGAAGGAAATTGGGTCATGGTTAAACAATGCCGCGGTAGGGGAGAAAATCTTGAGTATTCATTATGTCCAGGATTTGAAGATGAACAAGGAGCAGGACAATCGACAGAATTTTATAATAGATATTCTTCTTCAGCAGGAATGTCCGTAATGAATGAGCATCGAGCAACAAAAGGGAACACGACGAGGACTTACTTTTTGAAACCATTTTTTGAATCTCTCTTGCACGCTTCGGCTTGCCTTCAATATGGAATAGATCAATATGCTTACTCATTATATGGAATAGATGCAAAATTTCAAATTGCTTTAGAAGAAGAATTAAAAATCGAAAATTTCGAAATTATAATTACCAAATTTCCCCGATGGAATGGTAACATAAGGAATGGCCCCGGTGAAACGGAAATGAGAGGAGTTGTGCCAGAGTGGGGTGAAAGACTCCTATTGGAAGTAGACCAAGCGATTAAAGGAGGTGAAAACCTCATACGTCAGAAAAGAATGCCCGTAGGTAATCGAAATTGAAGAACCAAAAAGACCGTAAGAAGGCTTCTGTAGGAGGAATTTGTAAAAAAAAAAAAACAAAAAAAAGAAAAAAAGAAGGAAAAAAAAAAAAAAAAAAAAAAATTACGCGCAATTCGAGATAGATTTAGTTTTTCTTATATAGATTAAAATACGGATTCACATAGGTTTTTTTTTTTGGCGTTGATGTGTGACCCGATCTGTTCGTTGTCTGATTACTCGCTTCGTTTAAGATTTTATTTGGTAATTTTCTGCGCACGTGCGTATAACAACAGATATATCATTCACGGGTTATTTGTCGTTTGTGTTTATGCAAGAATTATTTCGTACATTTAGAGAAAAAGAAAAAAAAGGTATTTGGATTTGCTTATACATTTAGTATAAATCGAAATCAATTGTGACTTCGTAGAAAAAAAAAAAAAAAAGAGAAATTAAAAAAAAATCATACAAAAAAGAAAAAAAAAAAATTCAAAATAACATAATTAAATTTGAGTTTTTTTTTTTTTTATTTCATTATTAAAGATTTAAGTGATAAAAAGATTTAATATGTAAACTAAACAAGGAAATTTATAAAAAGAAAAAGTCATTATGTTCAATAGAGTTAAATCTTTTTCCTTTAGATTTTTATGATGCATGCAATGAAGTTAGTTTCTGATAATCATTTTAACAAATCGTTCGCTTATTGTATGTATGCACTATATGTACCGAAAATCAATACTCTAAAAAATCCAATTGATATCACTTTTTAATAAGTTTTTTTAACGGGTGTTGAGGCTATTTTTTTTTATGCATGATGCGAGAAAAAGTATAATAAACAATGACATTTAGATTACGTGATACAGAAGTTTTATTCACTGTATAATTACGCTGTTTGTTTTTATCTAGTAAATATTTAGTTCACATATAAACAAATGCAAAAATGCCCCACTAACATAGACAGTGTATTACACAATTTACCATAATCAAATTTCGCACTCATAAAAAAATAGATGAATAAAACAATTAATGTTTTGATCTACAATATGCACACATCACTTTATCATGTCGCCAAACTGTCAAAAAAAAAAAAAAAAAGAAAAAAAAACGGAATAACTACTTTTATTCCTAGCCTTATATGACATCTGTAACGGGCGATCTTGACCAACGCGTTTTTTTTTTAATTCTCTAATAAGTAAAAACAGGATGATTTTTCGTCAATATGAAACTTTTTTTTCTTTGTTCAAGCCAAGAACAGAAATAATAAAGTTCGTTGTTTGAAAAGATTTCTTCATTATAGGTTTAAAAATTGTACATGCTTAAACGATCACGGCATATTTCCCCATTACATTAACGTATCCTAGGTATGGTATAAATACACATGAGGAGATATTTTATGTAATTATATGCGTTTATTAACTCATTTCTATAGCATTAAAAATTGTATTGTTGTATGTAATCAGTTTTGCATATCCTATGAAAGGTTGCCTTATATTAATATCGTGGTAATCTGATAGAGTAGGTAGGAAATTATATTTTAAGAGTTTAAGATATATATAGTTTAAGCGCATTCATAGAGGTTTTTTCGCGATTTTTCTTTTATTATGATATAAATGATAAGCAATGATTGAATGCTTGACATATTTGACATATGTGCCTCTGACTATATGCTATATGCTATCTGCATATCTTCCAAAACCATCGAACAAGTGCCTCAAAAAACGCGTTTGTAGTAGGCTGGTATGTGAGTATGAGTACGCCAATCATTATGGCGTATAGTGTTTTAAATACTGTAAATTCAAAAAACTATTTTTAATTTCGGTGAACCCTTGCTTATTGGTCTAACCTTAATTAAGGGAAAGGAAACTAAATTTGGAATGCCAATAAACTGGTTGCGTTTACAAGTCGCGACATTGTAAAATCGAGAAACGATTGTATTTTGTTGTTTCATACTGTAATGCATTTCTCTTGTGATTTTCTGCCTGTCTGTAAATACATTATCATTCCTTTTCCATAATTGAGGGCTACTAGAGTAATTAATTGTTCGGGTAGCTTGATAGTACTTGTGTTGTTTGTATAAAAATCAGCACAACTAGCATACATTGAAATGCTGAATGCTGGATCGGAAGGACTAACACTTCAGCAGTACTTCATGCATGAGCTGTGCTCGAATTAAACAAATATGTAAATAATAAAGCTTTTAGAACAATGGCCTTTGAGAAAACATTGCGTTCGATTATGTTAAATCACATGCTTTAGATAAACTCTTTTTCTCCTACTTATTAAATTTCTAAGATTATTATTGATTTGAAATGTACTGTTAAATAGCGCCTTTGTCTTGAAACTTTTTTTTTTTGAACAATGGTCATTGTTAATCAGAACAATGATACTCCAATGAACAATCGGGTTAAAGAAAGAATTTAGCAAGTTTAGTTTGATTATTTTCCTAATAAAGTTGATTTTTAATATTTTGTAAAATTTGGTAGGTTTATTTATTTTAAAAATTACAAAAATGGCGGAATATCTTGTTGCTGGTTCCTTTTTTCAAATGACATACGATTAATAATTACATATTCATTATCTCCGTACAATATTTTCAAATGATCGAAATTTTCTATTTATAGCTATGGTCGAAATAAATTAGTAATGGGTAGCCGACAATGATTATTATAATGTCGGCTTTAAGTCGTACGTACGTACGTATGTACCCGCATTTTGTATGTTGATGCTCACCTATCATTCCGTGAAACATGAATAAACATTTGTCTGCTACGCTTCAAATCAAAGTGCCTGAAAACGTTATTTCTTTAAAATGTATTAAGGATGTTCTCACACGCTCCTTCAATGTGATTAGCTAGTAATCGAGGTGTTACTCAAATCATTACGATTAATTGAGGTTAATGGAAGAGCGAAATGCGGATTCTAAATTTTGGCAACTCTATGAAAAATTATAGAAATTGTACGTAACTTTGACTATTTAAATTTGCTTAAGAAAAACATTCTTTACAAAATAATATTGTTTCAACATAGTCCTAGTCCTTGCGGGAAGTTTTTCTGAATGTGCACTTTAAATGAATTACTAAAGATAGAAATTTGTATCGTTAGCCAGCTTTAGCAAATTCTAAGAAATATTATATATGGCAAAAGATATGAGTATGCAAGTTAATACTAAATTTAATATAAAAAATTATAGCAAACTTTTCCTAAATGCATTGTGCGAGAAATATATGTAAAAAAACCTGCTCTTAAAGAAAGCGATTGTATTATTGTTGTTTCAATTTAATTGAACTAGTAAATTTTGCAAATTAATCAGTATCGAGTATGGTGCAGAACATAATCGCATCAAAAAATAATTGTTTGCAATAAAGTTTAATAACTTTTAACTAAAAATGATTTTTAAAAAAATCTTTCTATAATTATATTGTTTAATACCTATAGAATATAAATATAGAAAATTTTTTTAAAAAAACCTTTTTATTAAAAAGTTATTTTAATTTAAAAATTCTTTAATTTTATAATAAATTTTAAAATTTAGCACTTTATTTTATTAATAAAGGTTAAAAATTCAGCGCTTGTATTATAAAAGTATTTAAAAAAAATTTTAATAAATTAATTAAGGCCATGCAAAATTAATTAATTGGTTTTCATAACCCGGCCGGGTCAAAATTTGAAAACTTCAAAAAAAAATTTTTTATATGTTTTAATAGCCGGGTAGGTTTTGAAAAAATTTTTTATATAAATTTTATAAAATTTTATATATGAATT